AGCAGGAATAGTCCTCCACTTTTCCAACTGTGATCCCTTAGTCTCTTCGTTCAAAAACTTTCTTAACCCCTCTTACTCGCTTTTTTGTAAACTTTGTTCCTATCTTCCAGGCCAACAGTAAATCCCTACAGGTACTCTGGAAATGAAATGTGTCACTTCCTCAAGAAAATCTCAAAAATCTCCCAACAATTTTTAAGAAGGACCAAAGCTCCATAGCCTTTGGGTCCTTCTCCTGCAATAAAATGGAGGAACCATGCCCCCTCCACCCCAAAACAGGACTAACAAAGCTTAAATGGCTCTGTTAAGGATTTTTTATTTACCTTTTCCCCTTCTCTTCTCCTACATAGAATAAAAGTTAAATAAATAAAAAAGGCTTTAAATATTTTTTTAAAGAATTTCTGAATAAAGGATTTATTTTTTTATTAAAATGTAGAAACAAGGGTTGCAGGATTAGTTCTCTAAGAAAGAGGGGAAGAAATTTCTCCCTAACTGCATCTTATTTTAAAATATCTATCCATACAGGAACTCAGCATATTTTGATTTCCCATTCCCCATAATCCAAAACCAGATTATATTGTGGTGGATAAGGATTATTTTGCATGAAAAGCTCAAAGCAATTAATACTATTAATGGACATGATTGGGATGAAAATGTACTCCTGGAACTCAAGTCCTTTATTGCTTTGTTTCTACCTTTTAGAAAATGTATAGTTCTATTCAGGGCTCGTGGTTTGTTTTGGGTTTTTTTATTAAAAAAACTAAATAGAGACAGCACCTCATCCTTTGGGGATAGGAAAACGCTTCCCCAGTATGACAAGAGGGGGAAACATTCAGAACTTGCTTCCTGCTGCAGCTTGTATATAGAGAATGTTTTCAGTAATGTGATCACGTCTTTTGTGATGTTCCCCTGAAAATAATAATAAATAGAGAGGAAATGCCACAAATAATACAAAATGAACTCTGAATCTAGACTTCATCACTTACCTCTCCCTCCCTTCCATCCCCACTTGTGTGTGTGTCTTTACAGAAACATGTGTGTAATAGGCTGATGTGTTAAAACCCATAATTGCCTGCCTGAATCTGTGGACCAGCTCCTGCCATCAGCCTAGTTTGAGCTCTGTACCTCAGCTCTTTTACCATGGAGGTGTGCACATCCCCCTAGAACTCAG